ATAAATATAGATAGATGGAATAATATATCCTATACACACAACTTAAAGCTATGGAACCTTAAGCTATATTCAGTTATGCAGCTACAAAGATTATACAAAGCAAAAATAACATTTATAAATAATAGTAACAATAATGACAATGAAAGTAATTACAGAAAAGCAAAACTGATACCTTTAAATGTAATAAAAGTCTAAATGTATTTTGTGATGACTTTTCTTATAGAAGGAATTGGTAAAAACAATCGTTTAGTAAAAGTAGACTCCAATTACCTATTATTGAGCATTCTAAGCACTTACCTTTTACCTATTATCACTAGCTCTATCTTCTTTCTGCAGTGATTTCAGATTGTTCCTTAACCATTATCCATCTAAATTAGTAAAATATGAAACAGTTAGGCACATAAAAAGGAGGACACACCCAAATCCTACCAAACTTTTTAAAATATATTAGATTCAAGCTCAATTTTCATAAATAACTTAAAACATAAGAAATAATTATGTACAATTTTTCCTCCTTTTTCTTTCCCAAAGAGACACTAATCTTAACCTCCAACTTTCAAAATTAGTCTAAACCATGTTCCCGTAGCCTCAGGAGATAAAAGGAACTTCCATAAACAATCGAGTTCTGAAAAAATATTCCAGGAACACAAAATACACTAACTTCAATATAAAAACTGAGCCAAAAGAGAAAATTGTCTATTTCTGCACTACTTTGTTTTGAATCTAGGACAATTAAGGGCACTTACTATAGTTATACCCAATTTGCAGCCTCCAACTACACCAAAGTGATCCTTGTTCTAAGCCATATAAAGATTTTAAATATTTTTAAATGATGCCCACATCATGCAATTAGATTACTGTAGTTCATAAGTTAATGAAAATAGAGATCACTTTTTTTAAGATTAAAAATCCATCTAAATAGCCATCTAAAATATTGACACAATTTCTACATAACTATAAATTCTAAGTATTTTTTATGGCATCCCTGGAATAAATTTTGTCAAACAAAATTAATCCAGAATGCTTCATGGAGAGAATAGAGTGGTTTTGAAAAATGGAACAGATTTTTTAAATTTTTTTTATTAATTTCAGAGAGGAAGGGGGAGAGAGAGAGAGAGAGAGAGAGAGAAACATCAATGATGAGAGAAAATCATTGATTGACTGCCTCCTGCACGCCCCCTACTGGGAATCAAGCTCGCAACCAGGCATATGCCCTTGACTGGAATCAAACCCAGGACCCTTCAGTCCACAGGCCGACACTCTATCAACTGAGCCAAACCAGCTAGGGCTGAACAGAGTTGCTGTTTTTAAAAAAAAAAAAAAAAAAAAAAAAAACTACTTGAAAACTAGGAAATGAACAAAATTTAGATGAAGCAGGTGGGGATGAACAAGAAACAGAAAGTGAGTTTCTGGACTAAACATACTATCAATATACTTAAATTGAATAATTAGTTCCACAGAAAAGCATCCTACTGTAAAGAAAACAAAAATTTGTGATCCAAACAATGTTCAGGAAAGTAAACATTAAAACAAGGGGTGGGAAGGTAAAATAAATGTTAAAACTGCCCTGACCGGTTTGGCTCAGTGGATAGAGGGTTGGCCTGCGGACTGAAGGGTCCCAGGTTCGATTCCAGTCAAGGGCATGTACCTTGGTTGCAGGCACATCCCCAGTAGGGAGTGTGCAGGAGGCAACTGATCGATGTTTCTCTCTCATGGATGTTTCCAACTCTTTATCCCTCTCCCTTCCTCTCTGTAAAAAAAATCAATAAAATATATTAAAAATAAATAAATAAATAAATAAATAAATAAATAAATAAATGTTAAAACTTGACTCTTCACATCACTAACTTCTTTAAGCCCTCTTCCAGCTACACTTGATTATTGTTCTCATCCAACCTATTTTATTACTCAGTCACTTCAACTCTGTTCTTACAAAATACCCAATTTTTCAGTCCCTTCATTCTGCCATATCCATCCACCAAAGCAAGTCATAACCTGGTTGAGAAGGGGCCTAGGAACCAGATGGATCTGGGTTCAAGTGCCATTAGACGCTGGGCATCTTATTTCATAACTCTATGCCTAGTTCTTCACTGGTAAAGTAAGGATTACATCAGTTACCTGATAAGTGCCTGAACACAACATATATAATATCTGTTCTCCTTCTCCCTCTAAATCAGTGGTGGAGAACCTTTTTCTCTGTTAAGGGCTATTTGGATAATTATAACATTATTCACAAGCCAGACAAAATTATCAACTAAAAAATTAGCCTGATGCCCAGCCTGTGAGGCTTGGTGGTTGAGCAACGACTTATGAACCAGGGGGTTATGGTTCAATTCCCAGTCAGGGCACATGCCCGGGTTGTGGGCTTGGTGCCCAGTAGGGAGTGTGCAGGAGGCAGATGATTATGATTCTCTCTTATTACTGATGCTTCTATCTCTCTCCCTCTCCCTTCCTCTCTGAAATCAATAAAAATATATTTTTAAAAAATTAGCCTGCTATATTTGGTCAAACATTTAATTAACTCACCCCTAATGCCTTGGCAGGGCAAGACCAAATGATTTCCTGGGCCTTATATGGTTCCAGGGCAGACATTCCCACCCTCCCCCACTTTAACTGGTGACTTAGACATGTAATGCAGCCCCTACTCTCATTGAAACACACATATGCATACATGTACACACACAGAGATGCACACTCACATCTCAAAAGTTCCTTTTCTGATAGAGTAAGTTATGATTAGCAAAAATGCTCTGTGTGCAGAAGAAAGTGATTAAAATAATGAAGAAACCTGAAATTATATAATAACTAGTTGAAGGAACTGGGGAAGGTTTTGGGGGTGGGAGGAACAGGTGGGGGAAAAGGTGAGAAGGGTAGTTTAAAAGGAGAGATTATTCATGTAAAGTGAAGAGAAATGGATGAATGTATGGTTAAAAGTAGAGAAAGGCTGACTTCAGCTCAAAACAAGAACTTTTAAAAATCAGACCAGTACAAATGTGGAATGGCTGCTCATAGGAAGTGTTTCCCATCACTGGGGATGAAAAAGCACAGACTGGACAACCCACTGGCAGTAACAATGTAGGGCAAACTGAATGTCAGATGAGAAGTTAGACTAGAAGCCTCTTAGAGTCTTCCAGCGTATGTGTCTGGGGACCGAAAACACTCATCTCACTCCAGTCCAATTCAACCCTTGCCCCCATTGACATTGTCAAGGGAAGAAAATGGGGGGGAAAAGATGTATTCCGTCCGGCTGGTGTGGCTCAGTGGTTGAGCGCGGACCCATGAACCAAGAAGTCGCCAGATCAATTCCCGGTCAGGGTGCATGCCCGGATTGCAGACTCGATCCCCAGGAAACAGCAGGTTGATGTTTCTCTGTCATCAATGTTTCTATCTCCCTATCCCTCTCCCTTCCTCTCTCTCTAAAGTCAATTAAAAACATATTTTTTTAAAAAAAGAAAGAAAAAGATGTATTCCTGTCATCCTGACTGGGAATTCAGAATACACGTCCTATGAAGACAAGGTCACAGAGAGTAAATACAGTTCACAGAATCAGTAATGTGCCATACTAGTAAAGTACATTTTTGATTAATCTAAATGTCAGCCAACATTGTTCCGATGTTAAAATGTGTTCAACATTCCAAATTAACTCAGAAAAAATTTTTAAACACATCCCGTTCATGAAAGAACATACCTGTATCACCTTCCATGTTGTACTAATATTACTTCACATTTTTTTCCTTAGCGTTCCTTGTGGACAGAGACTATTGTGTATATATCTGCATTCACCAGATCTTTGTCATGCTGCTTGGTTAATAATTCAGCTTCACTAAAAGTAGTAAGCTCAGGAGAATGTCATGAAATTGCGTAACTAACTAGAGACAGAGTACCGCAGCGAGTTAGGGTGCAGATTACTCAGATGCAAGTCCTGAGACTGGCTCCCTGGGTAACCCTGGGCAAGTCATTTCACCTGGCCAAGCCTGTTTTCCCATCTGCAAAATGGTGAAAGTGAGGATGGTGGACAATATTCCTTGTAAAAGGACTTGCCACACAGTAAGTGCTCAATAAATGTTTAGTATAATCCTCGGAACGGAATAAGTGTTATGTATTAAATAAGGTCTGTCCCTTACTACCGTTATTTTGTGCAAAAACAGATGTTAGTATTGAGTTGGTTTTACGTTAACTAAGTACTGCAACTCCTCCTTTCCCTGTAAAATTGATGCGATTAACATGAAGTACAAATTATATACCTGAAACTATGACAATGAAATCAGGGACTTGGCTCTGGGACAGAAATCCGTTTCTTCCAGATTTTCCCAAAGGACTTCAACAGTCAAGAAGGACCTGTGATTCTTCTGCAGCAAAACAATGGGTTCCGAACCTACGTCAGTGAATCGCTCCGGTCACACAGAACCACACCTCTTCGCCACGAGACAGCTGCTCGCTTCTCTCCTTTGCACTCGGAAAGCGAGGCGCACCGAAGCTTTTCCCCGTCCCAGGCCCCGCTCCTCACCCACCCGAGTACTGTAAATCTCGGCTGCACCCGCGAAGGCAGGAGTACGATGAGGCCGACTGCAAATTCCCCTGGGGGAATGGACTCGAGGGCCCCACGGTACCAGATCGCACCTGCGGCGGTCCAGTCCGAGGCCCCCCAAAGAGCCACCGAGCCAACCTAAGTGACAGACGCGCCGCCACCTCATCACCTCCCGCTTCACGGTCCCGCTGACAACTCAGCCACGCTTGTTCAGCGCAAAACGAGCACCCTCGGCCCCTGACCCTTGCTCTCTCTACGTTTTCATTTCAACCATTTCCATCGCCCACCAAGCCCAACTTCTGCCAAAGCGACAGCGACCCGAACCCACCTGGGTCAGCTGCTCCTCCTACAAACTAGGCTGGAGTCCGAGCGCATGCGCATTTCCCCAGGCATGGCTCACGTGACTGGAAGTGACACGCTCTTGGTTTGCTCGGTATTTGATTCAAAGGTCTTAACAGGAGTCAGGGCGGAGAAGTCCACCTGTGCGCATGTGCTCACTCTGACCCCGATGGGAGTTGTAGTTCTGCGGGTGCAGCGCAGGGAGGAAACCAAACTGCGATCCCCGCCCACCTCTGCCCGGCGGGAGGAAGCGGGCCCGGCGCCCGGGGGCTGGGCTCCCAACTTCTCTCTGCGATGCTGCTGCTGTGCGTGTCGGTGGTCGCAGCCTCGGCGCTGGCAGCACCAGCTCCCGGGACTAGCGGG